CATGGACCAGAGAATGTCAGAGTTGGAAGGGACCTTAGAACATGGAATGTCAGGGCTGGAAGGGATCTTGTAATATGATGCCATTTCCTGGGCCCAGAAAGAAAAGGCCTCTTCAGTTCCTATGGGACGTGAAGCAGGAAAAGGGCTTGGTGGGGAAATGGGCAGGGGGTGGGGGTAGGGGGGCGGAGAATGCCAGTGATTCCCAAAGGCCTTTACTCCCTTGGATGCTGGGTAAAACCTCTCCAGAGAAATGGGCTAGGCACAAGAGAAGTGGACTGGGCATTAGCAGACCTGAGCCTCCAAACTCGGCCCGGCTATGAGTGACCTTGGTCTATAAGCATGCCCCTTCGTGGGCCTCTTCTGGAAAACAAGCCAGTGGGATGAGCAGACCTCTTCAGTCCCTTCCTGCTCAGATGGTCTATAATTCTAGGTCCCCTCCCTCTTGGGCTCGCCTCAGCTGCCTTCTCTGTAAACTCAGGGGCTTAGATATGGACGAGATAAAGCAGTGCTCTAGGCTGGCCAATGCCTTGGCCAAGACTTCCTTCTGGTGCTCTTACCACCACTGGGCCCTGTGCCAGAGAGATGTTCTTCCCTTCTGGCTCCTAGGTATGTACTCTTGTGTAAAGAACCAGGGAAGGGGCCATTGAGCCTTCAGCTGAGGCTAAGAACATGGGATTGGAGGAGCCTCCAGATACTGGAGGTGGGCAATAGCCTGGCCACCAGGTGAGGTAGCTGGGACCCGGGATCAAAGTCGGAGATGCATCCTGCTACAAACATGTGCCCTCAACACCACTACCCCTGACCCCAGGGGAAGTTTGTCTGCTTGCTCAGGGGCCAGGGGAATAATGAGGACCCCACCCTCATCCCAGACTGCTGCAAACAAGCAGGAGAAATGCAAGCTAGGAGCATATGTGGTACGGGACCAGCTAGGAGTAGCGAGATGGGGTTCAGGGAGAAAATGGGATTCAACCCAGGCTGAGAAGCCCCATAGGGGGCAATGGCTGCTCCCAATAAATTGGCCTGATAAATTTTCCAGGAACCAGCTTATTGTCAATAAAAGGCCTTGGAATTCGAATTGAAGCAATGGATGTGGTGCAGGGGAAGGGCACCTGCCTTGGCGGCAAGGGGCCTCGGGCCAGCTCCCTGCTCAGCCACTTACTGCCCATGTGAACCTCTCCCTCAGAGCCCCGAGTGTGTCCAAAGAGGGCTTTAAAAGTGCCTGTGACCATAGCAGGCAAGAGCTTCTCCACGGCATTAATGGGCATGCAAAGGCCACGAGGGCTTCTGAGAGTGAACCCGAGAGAGCTGGCCATTCCAGGGCCTGTCTGGGGGCCAGTAGGGTGGGCAGCACTGTACAGCACAGTGGACAGAGGCCTTGCAAAGATGATGCCTGAACAAAGAGGGAGAAGAGAGAGGAAAAAGGAAGCTGGCGTGCATAGTGTCCAACTGTTCAAAGTCAGGCAAGAGGGTGAGAGGGATTCGAGGCTGTGAGAAGCCTTGAGATGCAGCCTGTTACATCCCTTTCCAGAAGGAGCCTATGTGCCTGGCTACTGTCAGATGCCTTCACTGCCCGTGCTTCTCATTTCTGAGGGGAGAAGGAAGATGAGAAGAGGCCCACAGCCTGCTCAAGAGTAAGCAAAGAGAGGATGCAGGCTACTCAAGCTAGGTTAGGGGGAAGTCGCCCAGCTCAAGGTGCAGGGCCAGCCTAGGACGATCTCTGCGGATTGGGCACGGCAGCCCTGGGGGCCCCTGGGCCTTATAGAAAGACTTGCCTGGCTGAGGCTGCGGGATCTGGCTTGAGGCCCAACTGCTCTGGCATTCTCCATACCCCAGCAGGGTGGTAGTGCTGAGGCCTGTCACCTGTAGGTTGTGGCTCCGGAGGGAGGCTCTGGGATCTCTTCCTTCCCACCTCCACCTGGGCCCCCTGGGGGCGAGGCTGCTCCAGGGCTGTGTCAGACCGCCGGCTGCCTGAGGTCTCTAGGCCGGCATACTGGGAGTGCTGAGATAGCCGGTGGCCCCTGTATTTCGCCCAGTTGGGAGGTGGGGGCCGTGGGGGAGGTGGGGCCTTCTTTCTTGCTCCCAGAGGATCTGGCCGGGTCTCGTCCACTTTGGTCAAGAGCTCTCTTCTCTCTCTAGCCCGTGTGCTTGGAGGGTCCAAGTTGATGTGACTCTCCGAGAAGGCCCGACCCCGAAGCGGACGGGGTCCGACCCCGAAGCTGCCCTGCTCATAGACAGCACTGCCCGTCAGGGTCCCCACTGAGTGATCGTAGTCACACAAGAGGTCAAGGGAGGAGGCCACTCGGTAACACGCTGACCGCTCACGCCCAGGGCTCTCAAAGCAAGCGCGTGGGCAGCCAATCTTATAATGAGGCCGGTCCCTGGAAAACAGCATTGATTCCCACAGAGTAACAGAGCGGATCCCAAAGCCCCACCCTTTGTCCCACAACCCCGTGCTTCCTCTCCAGAAAGATTCCTGTGTGCTCCATTCACGGGGGCACAAGCCTGGTGGTAGGCAGTCTACATGGGCATGGTCACGTGTGTAAGAGATAGTAGGATACGGGGAAAAGAGTCCAAAGGAGATTTGGTTCAAATCCGGGCAAGGTGATGTGGGAAATAATGGTAATAGCTGGCCTTTATATGGCACAACTTTGGGAGCTAAACATAATCATTATCCCCATTTCACAGGTAAGGAAACTGAGGCAGATGAGGTTAAGGGCCTGGAGCTGGATTTGAACTCAGGTCTCCCAAAAGTCGCGCTACCTCTCAGGGCCTCAGTTTCTTGACGTAGAAAATGTGGGGGTCAGAGCAGGTAATTTCTGGAGGTCCTTGCCAGCCCTAATTCTGGGACCATCATGACCCCATCTGGGCTGAGCCAGTTGTGCTGAGTGCCCCTTCGGGCTTTCAAAGACCATCTTCTCATCAGTTTCTAAAGTGTTCTCCAGCCTGCTTGTGGGCTAAGCATTGCCCAGTGGCAGGAAATTCTGGTGGTTCAATTAACTGACCAGCCAGAATAGCCATTCAATAATCACCATGGAGACCAAGGCTATTTTTTTTTTTAAAAATCCAAATAAGACATGGTGTTGGCCAAGCTCTGGGGGCCAGGACCAAGGATCCTGTTTTCCCTCCTTCTCCACACCCCTCCCAGCAGCTGCTCTGCCCTTGAGCCCAGCCAGTTCCCAAAGACCATAGGAACCCTGGGCCAAGACAGCAAGCTGAATTGGCTGGTCTCTTCTCACCTGGGGCCTCAGCCTTCCAATGGCTCCCTAAGCAGCTACGCTGTGCCCTGAGTTCAAGCCCTACCTGAAGTATGTCTGAACAGCACCTGCAAGGGTCGGGGCATTGCCTCCCAAGGCCTCCTGGTCAATGCCCTTCCTTCCCTCCACTGTCCCTGGGTCTTCCCACTGGGGTCAAACAGCTCTCTTCTACACGCCAACCTTTCAAATGCTTGGTGACAACTAAGCCTTCTCTTGTCCAGACTGAACCTCTCAGGCCCTCCCACCTCCAGGCTACTACTCCCTCTCCCTTGGACCCACTCTAAGATGCCAATGTCCTTCCTCATATCTGCTACTCAGGCTTGACCACAGGCCCCCAACTGGGATCTGAGGTTTCACTGGGTGGAGGATTATAGGCCTGTTGCCTTCCCATTCAGCATGCTTCAGGCCTGCTCATTTGGGCAGTCACATCCCACTGGTGGCCACGAGGGAGCTCTCAGTTAGCTAGAGCTCCCAATCTTCCCCCAGGAACTCCCAGCCTGTACTTGGGAAGTGTATTTTTCCCCAGCCTAAGTACAGGCCTTTCCATTCATTCTTACTAGGTTTCACTTTATTAGATTCGGCTGTTCTGCGGCCTGTCGCAACTTTTTCGGGTCCCTTCCCTGTCATCTAAAACACAAGCTTGTATTTGGTGGAGGGTGGGAGGTGGAAGACCAGGGGAGGCCTCCAGTGAACTGAGCCTTGAAGGTGAGAAGGGAGAGCATTATTCTGCCCCAAACTCCTCCTTTTAGAATAGGGCCTCCTCCAAGGATACGCCTGTCTCACAAAGTGATCGTGGATGACAGCTGCAGAGAGCATTTCCACAAGTCACCTCATTTGGTCCCTCACAATACCCCAGGGAGGCAGGTGATGGAATTATCCCCATTTTTACAGAGAGGGAAACTGAGGCAGACAGTGGTTAAAGTGAATTGCCCAGGATCACAGAGTTAGGAAGTGTCAGGCTTTCTTGCTTTCCTTCTTTCCTGCCTCCAAGTTCAGCCGTCTCTACGGATCCTTCTGGCAGGCAGCTGTGACTCCTTCCTCCAAACCTGGACTCCCTTCTGCCAAGAACCTCACCTCCAGTAGACTAGGAGCTTCCTGCCTGCCTTCATGTCCCCATCACTCAATAGGCCTGCTACATACACTGAGCAAGTGATGGCTGAACTGAGGCACATTGAATTCTGGCAAGCTCCTGGCCCTCCTCCACAGCCGCCCCCACCCCAGGCACGTTCTTGTTCTTGGTTCAAAGCCTCCATCCCTGACTCCTTTTGCCACTTCCCAGAATGCTCTGGAATCCGAGCTCCCTCTTTGCTCTCCCAGGTCCCTCACTGTCCTTCTCTTAATTGAGTCATTAGCCTTCACGCCCTGCCCTCATTTGTTAACGGTGGCAGTTGGGGGGCATGCTTCCCCCGCCCCAGCCCTTCTGCCCATCTTCTCCCCAAAGATGAGCTTCTAGCCTCCAGCTCCTGGTGCTGCTCTTCAGCCTGGCCCAAGACGGGGCTTGGAAGGAGTCAGGGGGAAGCGCTCGGGCCCTGGGCTCTTGGTGTCAAGTCTTTGCCACTTCCTAGCTGGGTCTCAGGTGGCACATCTGTAAAACGGGAAGAATAGTAACCTCCCAAGATGGAGGAGGCAGCTCCCACTTACACTTCCTGGGCCTCACTGCCACCCTGCCAGCCACCAGTCAATGGCTGAGGCCCAAGTGGTGCTCAGAAAGGCCAACACCAACAGCTGTGGCAACAAGCAAATGGCTCCCCTCCAAACACCTCCCCGGGCCTCAGTTTGTCTCCTCCCCTCCAGCTTCACTTCTTGGCTTCTGGGCTGCCACCACCTCTGCATGGGTCAGTGAACAGGCCAGGCCTCTGCAGCCAGAGGCCTTGGGGTCAGGCTTTGGCTCTGGCCCTTGCTGGAGGACTCATCTCACGTCTCTTCCCCCTCCCTGGACCTCAGCTTCTTCCCCTAGAAAATGGGGGGTTGGGCTAGATGGCCTCGGAGGTCCCTTGCAGTCCCCAGCAATGAGCTTGACTTGACTTGACTTTAATGACGTGAAGTTACTGAGGGCAGCTTCACTTACCATGACTTCCTTCCTGCCGAACCTAGAATCAAGAGTTCTCAAGAAGGGAGCCAGGCTGCTCCTCCCACCTGTATCCCCAGTGAATCTACTGAGGCAGTTCCCAGGTCAGATGAGAGAGATGCATTCCACTGGGAGGTTGCTCTCCAGCCCTGTGCCTATGGCATCTATCCGGCCTCATCCTCACCCTGTGCTCAGCAGCAACTTTATTTTATTTTTATTTTTTATTTATTTTTAGGCATTTAGAGGAGCCACAGACAGCTTGTTTATCCAATTTATGGATGATATGGCCTAGGAGGAAGCACTAACCCACTAGATGGCAGAACAAGGATCCCCAAATATCTTAACAGCCTAGAACAATGGACCGACAGGAAGAGGCTGAAAGAGGCATAAAGGCCATAAATGTCAAGTTCTACACTTGGGTTCAAAAAGTCATCTGTACTAGTACATGGTCAGGCGACGGGGCCGGCAAACAGCTCCTGTGAAGAGGACTTGGGGCTTGTAATAGTTGGCAAGTCATGGAGGGAGAAGCCAAGAACATGATGGGTCAGTGATCTCACTGAGGGAAGCAATTGGCTCAGCTAGCCCAGGTCACAGCTGTTCTTAGCCTGGGCCCATCTGAAATCCTCCATGTCACCCAACATCACCCGTGTTGGCATCACCCAACAGGCCACACTCGCACCCGTCTGCCAGCCTTCCCTCCACCAGTGGGAGCTCCTTTTTGCCCCCCCCCCGGTATTTTAGGCCCCTCCTCATACCAGACCACACTGGGAAGGTGTGGCTTGCCATCATCCTGAGGGCAGGCGCACACACCTCAAGCAGCTGACTTTGAAAGAGAGAGATCCCAGCCTGCTTGTACCATGACTGGAGGATTGTGTTCAATTCTGGGCCTCACAATTCATCAAGGGCATTGGGAAGTGCCCAGGGGAGGGTCCCATCAGGGTCGTGAACTCAGGGTCCACGTTCTAGATTGCTTGAAGGAACTGGGAACGTTTAGGAGATTTACTTAGCTGCAGAAGAGCTGGCTGCTTGCCCCCAGGAGTGTCTAGGCTCCCAGAGGGCAGGGAAATAGTCCTTTTGGTCTTGGCAGGCCTGGCCTCTTGCCCAGGATCATAGTTGGGGCTGAATCAATCCTTGCTGAATTGTTGAAATGAATGAAAGCTGTCAAAATGGGTGGGTACCATGCCATTTTCCTCCAAGACAGAAGTGCATAGAGCCCCTCCAGGGAAGGACACCCCTTCATTCAAAAGCATCAGAGGCTCACAGATGGAAGGTTGGACAGGTCCTTACCAGTTATTCATGAAAAGGCATTCATTAAACACCTGCTGTGTAACAGAATGATTGATTGACTAATTGCCAGACCCCGTCCTAGATGAAGACAAAACTAACACAGGCCTTGCCCTCTAGGAGCAGACATTCCATCAGGGGAAAAGACAAAGCCAAAGGTAAGCACACACAAAATAACCTAGCAGCTGGGGGTGAGGGGAGGGAGGGAAAGCTTCATACAAAAACAACTAACAGCAGCCAACATTTACAGAGCATTTGAGGGGTCACAAAGTGCCTTCCATCTGTCAGCTCACTGAAATAATGCACAAAGTGGCATTTCAAAGTGCTTTGGGGCAAAGTAAGGATGGCACGAGGTGGCAGCTAGAGAACAGCCAACACAAAGGCACAGAGATGGTAGATGAGGCAGCAGGGGAAGGAGATGAAGAGAAGATTGAAATGCTCCCAGGTGTGATTGCTGGGGGGCCACTGGGGCCTAGGGAGTAGGTCAGCCTTAGCCTTAGGAAAATTACTTTGGCAGCTGAGTAGGGAGAGACTGGAGGCAAGGACACCAATTTGGAGCCATCACAATTGTCCAGGTGAGAGGTGATGGGAAGACCTGAAGACTGGTTGGCATTGTGGAATGAAGCCCTCTGATGTCTGGGCACCATCTATCTGTACCAACCACAGGGTTCACCGGGACAAGGGGGAGGACAAAAAGGGTGGCTTGAGGCTGAGGAGCGCAGTGCCCTGGGTCCCTCTCAGAGAATGGGTGGGGGCTCAGCAGAAAGGCCCACTGGTGCTCTCAGGCCAAAAGATGGCTGCGTCTAGTTTTACCGAGTGGCTCAAGTAGGAGGGCAGGCAGGGGGCAGGCACGTGGGCAGATAGTGGCTTTCCTTGATAAATGAAAGGCCTCTTTAAGAGGCCTCTAACACTCCCAATGGGCTCCGTGCCCAAGTTCGGATTTCTGCCTCTGGCTCCCTGCTGTACCAGCTGTAGTCCTCCTGGGACTCATGTCCAGGCTCCCTCCTCCCCCTTCATCACTCAGCAGAAGGCCCCCTAAAACAAAGTGGACCGTCAAGCACTATGGCCCCCAGGGTCCCCACTCCCCTGACACACTTGCAAAGGCAAAGGCATTCTTTAGCGTTCATGAGGGAGGGGCCCAAGCCTTTCTCGGCACTGACTGAGCAGCCCCTGTGGACTGCCGGCCCGCTGCAGGACCTAGCTGGTGCTGCTGCTGGCCCGCTGGAGGACGCAGCAACTCTGACCCACAGAAGAAGAAAAGTCCAATCAAACAAAGTACCGGGGGCAGAGGAGGCAGGGGCCAGGGCAGCGGCCTGGGGGGGAACTTTTGCCTACTCTCCCGAAAGTGCCTTCCACTTAATAAAAGGGGATAATCTATTCATCAGAAGAGAAAGTCTCTGATGCCAAGGGAGCAGCCACGGGAAGGGCAGAGCGCTGAATTGCCTTTTGTTTGGAAAACACATTCTCACCGTTGGTGACAAATGGTGGATCTATTCCCAGGCTCAGAGCTCACTGCTGGTTTCTTTCCCCAACCCCAACTGGGGTTTGCACCCCAGGGAATAAAGAAGGCACAGCCAGTTAGGTGGTGTGGTGGAGAGAGAGGGTAGGAGTGAAGAAGACCTGAGTTGGAATCCTACCTCAGACACTGATTATGTATGACCCTGGTAAAATCACTTAACCTCTGGAAAACGAGGATGATGATTTGGCCTGCTTTTCAAGGTTGTGGTGAGGCTCCAACGCAAATGCTCACTGTTGCTGTTATTATGAGCCAAAGGCCTTAGGTGCCCCCACCTACCCACCAAGTTCTTTGCTTAAATATGACTGACCCTTGCTAAAGCTTAGATCCTTCTGTCCCATCAGCCCCAGGACCCAGACTGCCAGCATCTGCTTCTGCCCCATCTATAGGCAGATACTGAGGCCCAGTGTCCACAAGACCTAGAGGCCCTGAGCACGGCCTGTGGCTGGTCAGGAAACCCCTCCCATTACCACTGGCACTGCCCTTCTGGTTGTGCTCAAAACCCTTCAGGCAGCCCAGGCGGCCCCTCCCACTCAGGGACAGCTCTGGTCACTTGGTAGCACACGCTCAGTCCTGATTTCCATCCTACACCTACCTCTCAGGCCCTTCCCCCATTGCTTCTAGCCCTGCCCTCTGAGGCCAAGCAGAGTGAGGTGAATGCCCCCTTCCACAAAATGCCTCTCATTCCACTGTCTCTCTCTGGGTATAGAGGAAGAGGGGTTTCTGGTCTCCCAAGGCAGCCCTCTGCCCTGCTCGGAATTGCCAGGGCGGGCGTATTCCCCTCCTCTCTTGGGTGGCTCCAATCTCCTTGCCTGCTGACTCCTTGGGGCTCGCCTCCTTCCTCTCACTGCCCACCTTCTTGGCACTCAAGGCACCCATAACCTCTTCATTCTCTTGGTCCCTCTGCCACCTCGGATACTGCTAGCTGCCCACCTGCCCGCCTTGGCTTCCGTAATCTCACATTATTCTGATTCTTCTCTGTCCTCTGGTACTGCGCCTTCTCTGCTGCTTTCCCTGGATTCACCAGCAGGCCTCACCATCACCTCCAACTCAGTCAATAATAAGTCAAGAAACATCGATGAAGTACCTACTATGTAGCAGGCGCTGGGCTAAGCACTGGGGATACAAGTATGTAAAAGGAAAGTCTTTGGCCACGACTGACCTCCTGGTTTTGCCTGTACCCCTGTCACCGGCGCGCAGCCCTCCTCCCACTCCTACCCACCTACCCAGATCAGACACACTGGGGTTGGCATTCTTCTGCCCCATCCTTCACGCCCAGTCATTCATCATCCTGTACGTTTGTTCTCCAAAACTGCCCCCCCCCCCGCCGCCTCCCACTCTGTTACCACTTCAATCCAGGCGCCACTGGGGTGGCGGCCTTACTGTGTAAGACACTGTCCAGGCTGCTGGCCACCCCCACGTCAGTGGTCCTCAACAGTCCTTGGACTGCCGCACAGCTCGGTCCAAAAAACTATCCCTGGCTCCTCCTCCACAATCTAGTGTCAACCTGCTTGTCCCCGTGTTACGACCCAAGGTTCTCCAGGGTGAATTTTCTAATCCCGCGTCACACTTGTCTCCTTCCTGTTCCGTGACTAAGCCATGTCTATCCCCACCCTGGGTCCTCAGCTCTCGCTGTTCCCTCCTCTTCGACTCCCATCCTAATTAGGATGAGTCACGTGTCTTTAGCACCTTCAGGCTTAAAAGGTGCTTTTCCTACAACACCTCTGGGGAGTACAGACTGTCAGTATTATTGTCCCATTCATTTTACACATGAGGAAATTGAGGTCCAGAGATGGGCGGTGAGCTGTCCATGCTCACACAGATAACATGTGTCAGGCCCCTGGCCTCTTCCAGTGCATCCCAAGCCAGCAGCCCTGGCCTTACCTTGTCCACGAAGCCATCCCAGACTGTCGTGGCCCCCAGGCAGCTCAGCTCTCTCCTTGCAGAGTTCCTGGGACTTCTAGTCCTTACTTTGACTTTGGTGCTTGGCACACACAGGCCACTCATGCCGTTGACACATTTCATCTGTTCCCACCTTGGCTCCCCAAGTAGACTGGGATCTCCCTGAGGGCAGACTCACCTTCTCCTCTCACAGAATCACAGGGTAGTGTGAGAGGGCTGGGGCTGGGCACACAGGTGCTCTCCATTACCACTGATGGGCTGCACACACACGCACATACACATACCACACCACAAACGCATACATACATATATATGTACCTACCACAGCACACACACTATACCACATCACACACACACATACCACATCACATACACACATGCTACATACACATACCACACCACAAACACATACATACATATATATGTACATACCACAGCACACAGGTGCTCTCCATTACCACTGATGGGCTGCATACACACGCACATACACATACCACACCACAAACACATACATACATATATATGTACCTACCACAGCACACACACTATACTACATCACACACACGCACATACCACATCACACACACACACACCACATCACACACACACATACTACATACACATACCACATCACACATACACCACACCACACACACACACACACACACATACACACATCATACCACACTACACTGCACACACACACACACACCACACCACAGCACACCACAACACATACACACACACCACACCACACATACCACAGCACACACACTATACTACATCACACATACACACATACTACATACACATACCACATCACACACATACCCCCTGAGACTAGCAGTTGGAATTAAGGGCTTTGTACAAGGCCCCAAAGCATGTGGCCTTGGGATGTTGGAAGCAGAGCTTCCCTGGGGAGGAGAGGGCTGATGGGGAGGCCTCAGGACTAGGTACTCTGAATCTACTGTAAAGGGCACCCTCCTAGGAAGGAGGCAATGCCATCACCCCATCCTGGCTACTTGCACACTCCTGTCCTCCCCAGCACTAACGGGCATGTTCTGGGAGGACAGACAGGTGTGCCCGGCTGCTCTGTGGCCTCCTGGGCAGGGCCCCTGGAAGTGTAGCCTTCACCCACCTTTGGGCAGACAGAGGGGGCAGATGCCAGGCCAGAAGCAGCCACGGCTTGGTTGTGCTGTCTGACCTGACCCCAAGCTATCCCTGCAGCACCTGAGTGAGGCTCTGCTTCTGGTTGTTCCTGGATGCCTAGTCCCATGTTTGTTCCTTGGGGCAATAGGTCAGGCTAGGGGGTCCTGGTAGCACCAAGGGAGGGGCCATAAGCTCAGTCAGCTGGCTGGCCCAATGCCCACACCACCCCAGACCCAGCCCTGGGCCAGAGGCTCACTTCCATGCCACCTACCTCACAGGCTGGCCGGCCTTCCTGGTGATCTTCGCTGATTCCCATTCATCTGGAGAAACTTCCTATAAAAAAGACTCCAACAAATTAGGGAGGCTGGCTCTTGTCCGATGCCTCCTCCGGCTGAAAGTGACTGCCCTGCTCAGTCCCTAGAAAGGCCGTGGGTCTGCTCTACCTCCGTGGCTGGGCATGCCACACAGAGCTGGAAAGAGAAGGCGCTCACGGGCTGGGGCCGCGTGGCCCGGGGGCCTGGCAGGGCCCCCTCTCTCCACCCCCTCGGAAGCCCTGCCCCAAACCAGTTGAGCATGTTTGCTGTTTGCTCTGGCTCCTGCCCCGGCTCCACAAAAGAGAGGTGGGCACTGGGAACCATTCCAGTCTCACCAGCATCTTCACGGGGGCCACGATGGAAACGGCCTTTGGCTACAAAGGCCCAAGAGGCCAGTCTGGAGGTGTCTGTCCTTCACTGCTTGCTGTGGATGGACTGGGGCCTTGCCTCCTTCCACTGAGTTACTGAACATCTAAGCCCCATGCCGGATACAGGCTACAAACCAACCAGGAGGCTGTGGGAATGTGTGCCCGGCCTCCCTTCTCAAGCCAAGGCTCTGGGGGTACAAGACCTGGGGTCAAATCCTCCCTGGCCTGTCTCAGTTTCCAGAAGCTTTTGGAAAAGGCAGGGGTTCAACTAGGGCCTTCCAAGGGCTCTCCCAACTTCTATAGTTGGGAGAGATCTTGGGGCCTAGGATTCTTCTGGCTAAGTGTTTCTGGGCTTCCCAGCTCCCCAATTTGCCTTACAGATTCCCCACTGCCTGAGCTCCACCCGTACCACCCTCATGCAGGTTCCCCTGTACCCCGTCTCCTCCAGCTGGCTCAGCTCCTTCCTACAAACTCCCACTGAACTCATTTTCCATCCTCAGAACCACAGAATAACGGAGCCGGCAAAGACCTTGGAGAGCCTCAAGGCCACCCTGCCTACTTTGCAGATGAGGAAACCAAGGCCCAAAGGGGGAAGTGAGTCACCAATGGTCACATGTCGAGCTCCCTGGCTGCAGGCCTACTACCTCACTCCAGCAGGTTCCCTTACACTGGGGTGAGTTATGAGCGTCATTCATCCTTCCTTTCTCTAACCCTTCCCATGACTTTGTATAGTACCTGGTAAGTCAAATCAAGGCAAGATAACAAGCATTTATTAAGCTCCGACTATATACCAGATACTGTGCTAAGCACCGGAGATACAAAGAAAGGCAAAAGATGGTCCCCTATTTCCAAGGGCTCCCAGCCCAGTGAGGAAGACCACTTGCACCCACGTATGATCAAACAAGATGTGCACAGGAGAACGTGGAGGTGATATCAGAGGAAGGTCAACTCAGAGCTTTGCTACCATGACCTTAGGCAAGTCATTTCCCTTCCTAGACTTACTTCCATATCCTCCACCATAAAATGAGGTTGGATTAGATGACCGCTGATATCCTCCCAGCTCAAAGCCCGTGATTTTGGTGTTTCGATTCCCAACAATGGGGCCCACCATTTCCCATCCCCGATGCCCTGTCTGCCCCGAGTCCTACCCCACAACCTGCTGCCCCCCCAACCTGCCTTTGCTCCTTCAGGCCACAGAGCCCAGGGTTCCACAGATGCTAACAAGGACAGTGGGAGGCAACGGACATTCCATTGTGTGGGAACTCAGAGCCCCACTTTGCGTCCCTCCAGGCAAGTGGCAGCAGCAGCGGACCATAGTGAATGACCTTCACAGCAGAAGCTGTGTCTGGACCAGGGCTTCCCAGCTGGCCTTCCCATTTCTCCCCATGTTCTGAAAAGTCAGACCCCCTCCCCATGAGAGGCTACCAATAGGCAGGAGTGCCCAGAGTGCCAGGACAGAAAGGGGGCCACAGCCCCGACAGGGTCCTCCCAATTCTCTACGTTGGGCCAATCCAATGAGGCCCAAGCCAACTGTTCCTTGGGGGGTGGTCCAGGTCATTTGGGCCACCTTTTCCCCCGTAACACGTAATGCAGAAGGGCACACACTTTGTTGTGGTGGCTGATGATTCTTAAGGACAAGTTTTCTCTGCTCCCAATCAGCTCTTGACACCATCCATCCACGTCCCACCCAGGCCTTTGGCAACTTCTCCCTCCTGCAGCAACTGTCTCACAAATCAAGAGAAGCTGAGCCAACAGCTCCTTGCGAATTAAAAAAATTAAAAAGCAAAAAAAAAAAAAAAAAAAAAGCTGTTGCCACCCATGGTTGAATGCGGCTCTGGCACCATGGCTGCCTGAGCTAGGCACTGCTCGGGGGCCCAGCCCTTGCCTGCACGGCCCCCTCCATACCCACAATGCAGTGCCTTCTGGTGCAGAGGACAGACTGCTCTACTAGGCCAGTGCCAAGAGGCCAAGCCCATGGGCCAAGGTGGACTGAGCCTGGCTAAGACAGACAAAGGGCTTCCAGGACAAGGTGGGACTCCATCCCACCTACTGTCACAAAAACCCCAGGCGCTGCCTGGGAAGGTCGGGCCACCCTGGCGACCCTGGACAACTGTATGGGACAGGAAGGAACAAGGCCTGCCCGAATGCTCTAGAGGGGGCCACTGTGAACGAGTCACCCTGGGAACTGAAGCGGGAAGGAGAGCAGAGGGGAGAAGACGTCAGCCCAGGCTAGGTCCGCAGTTGGCAGTGGGCAAAGAGTACCCCCACCCCACCTTAGGAGGCTGGGTACTGACCTTCCAGGAAGGGCTGCCCTCTTCTCCGACCTTATGCTGAGTCCCGGGGTGACAACAGGCTGGGCAGTGAGCCCAGTGCTGGGGGCGGCAGCGGTGACTCCTCTGCAGCAGGACGGGGCAGTAACTGAATGTGTCACGGCCCACAGCTGCCTGAATGCCACATGAGCACGAGCAGGGCCGCAGGCACTCAAAGTCCCCACAGTGTGCCAGGGGCTGGTAACACGTGGGCTGCTCCAGTTCCTTGGTCACAAAGCATTCTGAATAAGTGGCTGGCTCAGGGGGCAGGGAGGTCAAGGAATGATAAGCTTGGTCCACGGAGTGGCGCCTCAGATCCCTGCAGCCGGCACTCACTGGCTGGAAGGCAGGTGGGTCGAGTGGTTTCGGCCTCAGGGTAAAGGGTTTATTGTGTCCAAGGGATGAAGCTGGTGGCGGCAATGACTTGCTGGTGTCTTCAAAAAACTTCTTCCTATCTGCGAAAGGCACGAAGATGCCCTCCTCCCCAGAAGGGCCACCCAGCTCCTCCTCACTCAGGTGCAGGCCTCCGCTTGGCATGGGCATCAGCTGAGGCTGCAGTTTCCGCTCTGGAGACCATCGCCAGCGGCCTCCCCGAACCCCAGGTTGGGGCCTGGGCTTGGAAGGGCCATGCCCAGGAGCTTTGCACCAGGGGTGGAGTCCTGCTGCAGCCTGCCAGGGCCTCTGGCCGGGGCTGCCAGGGCCCTCCAGCGGGGTCCTCAATTCCTGGCTTCCCGTTGCCTGGCGTAAGCACTCTGAGGACCTGGCCCTCAGCAGGTTACCGTTAGGTCGAGTCTGATCCAAGAAGCGGTCTACTGGGCTAGGCAGGCCACGATGAGCCGTCACTGCAGGTGTCTGAGGAGGGGCAGGGAGAGGCAGGGAGGCCCCAGGAGCGGGAGCTGGCGGCTGTGGAGACGGCGCGGTTGCAGGGGTGGCCTCTTCGGCAGTCTCCTCTATCTCCTGTACGGGTTCTGGCTCCTCCGACTCCCCCTTGATCTTCTGCAGCTGGGCCTTCCTCCTCTGGATCTCGTTGCGCAAGTTGGTGGCAAAGCGTTCACTCCTGCGTCTCAGCTGGGTGGAGCGGTAGCGCGTGCCGCTGCTCCCGCGAACGTCTCCCGGGCGGCTGTTCTTGGCCTCCAAGCCCTCGTCAGAGCTGGCCTGCTGAGGGGCATCCTCCAGGCCAGAGAGCTGGACGGCTCCTGCTTCGCTGGAGGATCCCCCGGGAGTGGGGCTGCTCTGACCCGAGCTTTCAGAAGTCAAAGGTTGGCCACCTGCCTGTCCCCTGGTCCTCTTCTCGCCAGGCTTATTCTGGGCTCCTGCCACGGGGTGGCAAGGGCTTTTCTGTCCCGGGGGGGCACCGTGCAGGGGAGACAGGGTCCAGCAATGCCCCTCCGGCCTGGCCTGCAGTTCAGCCCCCTCACTGTCCCCATCCCTCTCAACACCGAGGTGCAGTGATCGAATCTGGGAGGCCAGCAGCTGCTCAGGAGCGCTGTGACGGTGGCCGGTCAGCCCAGTAAGGTGGGCAGGGATGGCGGTGGCTGTGGCAGTGGCTGCCTCTTCCTCTTCAGTCTCTCCCCCAGGGCTGCTGGACACGACTTGGTCCTGGCAAGGCCGCCCTGTCCTCCGAGGGCCGCCCCTCAACAGTCGCCCAGGATCACAGTGACCCAACTCGGACGGGCAGCTCACCACGCAGTACTGCTCGTCAGACAGACACTCCTTCCAGTGGCCGTCGTGGGGCTCTAGGAGCTGGCTGCAGGGGCAGCAGGGCCCAGTGGGGAGGTCTGAGGAGAGCAGGGTCTGAGGGTTCCATCTCTCCTTCAGGTATAAGGCAACGCCAGGGACTGAGGCCCTCCGCTTCTCTGTCTGGTGGAACTGGGCCTTGGAGGCCCGAAGGCTGTCCCGCCTTACTGGAGGCTGGGGAGGACTTGGAAGGGCCCCAGGAACTTGGGCAGGGCCAGAGAGAGGACCCTCCTGGGGGCTGGGTGAAGGCTGATGACCGAATGGCCCTGCTGCCCCATCAGGCCCCGCGTGGAGGTAGAGGCCATTTGACGCCTTGGCCGGCCCCAGGCCTGGTGGGCTGCAGTCTGAGGCTGCCGTCTCCTCGGGCCGCAGGGGCAGGGCGTAGTCTGATGCACTGGAGCCTGCGGAGAAGGAGCTATAGGCTGAGTCCCGCTGACTCTGATACGTGCTCTGCTCCACGGGGGAGACATGGCCCTCGTGGCACACTTGGCTGGGCTGCTCCAGGCTTTCCATGCTGCCGATGGAGCTGCTCTTTTCAGTGCTGCCGTGGCGGGACAGTGGGTACCACTGCATGCACAGGTCACTGGAGGAACAGAGAAGAGGGGCACTCAGAGGGATGAGGGCAAGGCCCAGTTCAGGCAGTGGGGACTGAAAGGCAAGAGCGCTGAGCACCAGAACCACAAGGCCTTCTCAGGCACGTGTCCGGCCTCAGTGACCTGGAGTACTTCTCTGAACCTCAGTTTGTTAATCTCACAAATGGGAATAATAACCCTAGTACTACCTCCCTTCCCCTCTCCCACCCCATTCCCACTGCTCCAGGCCTGCTGGTACCTGAAGAAGGGATATTAGTGACCGGGAAAGCCAGAGAGGGTGGAAGGAAGGAGACTGAGATCCACAGAAGGGAAAGGTGAAGAGGACTGAAGCAGACAGCAGGTTGTGGAGAACAGGCGAGGCGATGATGGAAGGAGGGGGCGGGGGAGAGGGAGAACCAGACAACCAGACGGAGGCCACTGGTCAGAGGACATGCACAGCGGGGGGATAAAAGATAACCTAAGCGTGGGAGAACAAAAGGCCAGGTCGCACACTCTGGGTGTGCGTGGCGGGGGGGGGGGCCGAGTCTGCTCTGTCCCTGCCCTCCCATGGCCCTCCCCCAGCTAGGCCCTGGCTCTCCTTTCCCTTGGAGCCAGCCTTCGAAGGCCCCTCACTGTGAGCTCCTAGCTCAGTGGTGCCTCGGGAGAATCTTGGAGGCAGAAGAGCTGAGTGGCCCAGCCCCAGCTGAGCCACTTCCGTGCTGTGGAAGCCATCCCCCTGAGCCTCATGGCCCCCTTCATAAACGAGGGCCAGTGAGAGCAGGGGCACTGGGCCTCTCAGGGGAAAATCCTGGGGGTTCAAGGAAACCCAAAAGTCACCAGGCTGTCATAGAAAGAGCACTGAGCTCCAGTCCCTAGATTTGGGTTCGAGTTCCTACTGTGGCTCAGCACTGGGGGGCCCTGGCTGACTAACTCGCTTACCCCCCAGCCAGCCAGCCTCCTAAGTGAGGAAGGTCTGGCTGCTGGTGCTGCTCTCTGACAGCTGCCCATGAGGTGACTCTAGGCAAACTCCAGGCAAGACCTCCCCCACTACCACGGCTCTAAGACTCCGAGTGACAGATGAGTTGCTCCATGTGTGCCCTAGGGGTTTCTCCAACTTGCTGAAATCAGACCCCAAGAGAAAAAAAAAGGGGACTGCGCCAGGCCACCCCAAAGAAAGCGCTAGAAAGGCCAGCTCCTGGCTCGAGAGCCTCCAAGCGCCCCCAACAGATCATTCCCTGCCCCTGGCCAAGGGCATGCCTTTTCCCTTGGCCTTCGAGGTGCCCACCACAGGGAAGAGTGCTGCCAGGCACCCAGCTTTCCAACAGGCAAAGTCCCGCCACCCTCTCTGCCTCATTTTCTAGAGAGTCAAAGGCTTCTTAATCATGGCCTCGAGGCTGTACGTTACTCCTGAGAATGTGAGATTGGGGAGGGACCTGGAACACCAGCAAGTTCAGCCTTCTAATTTTACAGGGGAAGAAACTGAGGCCCAGGGAAGTTGGCCAAGTGAATCCCTCAAGATCATACAGCTCATAAGCTGCAGCGCTGACATTTCAAGCCAAGTCCTCTGACCCCCCCCCCAAAGCACTGTCCATCACTGCCTCCCTTTCCCTAACCACTCTTTTGACAGACCAGGAAACTGAAGCCCAGAGGGGCCGCGGGACTTGCCCAGCAGGACAAAGCTGGTCACTGGCCTGGCTGGGAAACCAAGCCAGAGCTAAGAGCCAGTCCCACGTTGGGATCTAGAACACGGGGCCACCAGAGACCGTTGGGCATAGGCTCTCGGCCAAGGGGTACCGCCAGCTGGGAGGGACAAGCTGGCACTCACCTGGTGTCACAGCCCGAATGCCAGGATAAGCTGAAGGGGTCTTCAGGAAAGTTCATGGAGGCAGCTGCCGCCTCAGGGCGCCCCTCCAGCAGTTTGGCCATGTGCCATGAATGCGGCCTGGCCAGGGGGGTGGTTCTCCTGCCAACAAGAATAGGGAGGAAGTTAGCCTGGGGAGTCGGGGCTGAAATCACTTCCCAGGCAGTTTCCGGCCCACCCCACCTCCCTCCCCCGCATACATGAGGAAGCCTTGGGAGGAGAGGGCAGCCTGGAAGGATGGCCCAGCTGGCCTCCTCTTCAGCCTTCAGGTGGACACTGGACAAGCTGCTTCCCCTACCCAGGGAGAACCCATCTGGCTTGGCTCCTGAGAGGAAGTGAACATGGGAATTGTCAGACACTGAAGTGAAGGCCCAAGGAGGCCCAAAAAGAGGTCTTGTGAAGACTGGCCTCTCCCTGCCTGCCTCAGGACCCTTAGCTGCCTCCAACACCTGAAGCCCTGGCAAGCTCCAAGAACTGGGGTCCCCCACAGGCAATATCTCCCCAAAGCATCATCAAATGCCCAAACTGCAGAAGGCAAAGGGGGAGACCCAACGGTCATCCAGTCCAACGGAGAGCCACGGTGAGAAGGCCCCAGCGTCTCCTCAAAGGTCTCCAGGGACTGCACAGCCCTGCCCTGCCCCCAGGTTGGTTCATCACTCACGACACACTGTCCCGATAGGCGTCTTCCAACTTCCCCCCATCACTGCTCCTAGCTCTGCTCTCAGGGCCAAAGAGAACAAAGCCAACCCCTTCTCCACACAACAGCTTCATCAAGATCTTTTCAGAAGACCATCCTGTCCCCCGAGTCCTCTCTTCTCCACACCAAACATGCCCAGCTCCTCCAACTGAGGCTGCCATCACATGCTTCTCAGGAGTCCCCATGCCCATTGCCTTCTGTGGGATCCACTCCTCCAGATGCGCCAGAACTGAACACAACATCCCAGCTGAAGTCTGGCCAGGGCAGGGGCCAGGGGACTGTCCCCACCCTCATTCAGGACCCTTGGCCTCTCTCAGTGCAGTTTAGGAGCACATGTGTGTTTGGCCCATCACACCATTCATGTTGGGGCCCTGAGCCCACACCAGCACACACACACGTGGTCACGTGCACACACACACATATTCACATACATACACACTGCCCCCGCTCCATTACGGACCATAAGAGGAGGGCTTGCAGAATCAATTTCCTTTTAGCCTCATCTAAACGGTCAGGGTTGGGTCTCTCCACCTCTACTCTATAGACTTCCCCTCAGCCCTCCAGGCTACCTTACTCCCAGGAAAGGCCCCCATCTCCACCAGACCTAGCAGGGCACTGTATCTGAGCTCCCTGAGGACATGCTCATCCTTCAAGCCTGCCCTCTTCCCAGGCTCCTCTGCACAGGACATGCCATCAGCTGATCTGGTGTCTGCCTGATACAATGGTACTAGATGGGTAGCAAATGACACCTTTGCCAGAAAGTAGGACCAGACAAAACACCTGGTAGCAGGGGGTAAGGGAGTAGATTCTAGGACCACAGGCGGATCAGGGATGGATCTCAGAAAACATTGAGTCCGGCTCCTCATTTTATGAAGGCCTCATTTACTGAAGCCCAGGAAGAAGGGAGTCACCCAAGGTCACATGGGCAGTACATAGCAGAGCAAGAATTGGAATCCAGGTCGTCTGACCAGAAATTCAGCCTTCTGTCCACTGTACCACAAGACCCTGTGGTCTACAGCCAGTCCCAGAGGTAAGGGGAAGTCAGGCATGTTACTCAGAGAGGCCAAGCCCCAGCTGGCAGGGAGATGCCTTCCCGAGATGCCGAGGAGTACCTAAGGAGCCAATCACAGGGAGACCTGAGGGGTCTGGAGAAAAGGGAGGGCCTGGAGGGGTGGGGGTGGGGAATGGGGGAATTCTGGCAAGAGTCACTAGGGCCCAACGGCAAGACATGAGTCCCAGGATCTGGATTTGAGGTCTGGCTCTGCGCCCCACTTGCCATGTGATCATGCTGGACAAGGTGGTCGGCAACCAAGCTGGTGAAGAGAAGACGCAGAGTGGACAAGAAGGCTGCCTTCGAGTCTCTGGAGGGCCATCCTGTGAAGTTGGGCCCAGACAGCCAACCCAGGAGCAACGGGAAGAAGTAGCCAAGAGGCCAACTGAGGCTGGTCATCAGGACAAATTTCCCAACACTTCAAGTCGCCCCAGAGTGAAATGGGTCGTCTCCCCGTCACCGAAGGGCTTTGAACCTTGGGAAGGCTAGGATAGACTGGTGCAGAATGAAAAGGGGGAGCCAGGGAATCAATGCGTGTGAGCCACCGAAGAACTCTGCTAAATAAATACAGTAACGAGCCCCTCTTTGGCTGGAGAGTGGCGAGAGCCAGCCCTTCCCTTCCAGAGGTGGTGGACTATGGGAGGAAGCAGGCATACACTGTCAGGCACAGAAAATCTCGGACTTTGGTTTAACCGCACCTTTGGGGCACAGACAGGAGTCCAAGTGGGCACAGATGGTTGGAAAGTGGCAACGATGGGAAAAGGCATCCATAGAATATTTTAGTCTTTAAAAAGACACACAGAGAGGGAATGAGTGAATCTTACTCTCGTCGTATTTGGCTTAAGAAGGGAATAATATATACACTCAATTGGGTATGGAAATCTGCCTTACCCTACAGGAAAATAGGGGGAAGGGGATAGAGAGCAGGGGGATGAGACAGGGGAGGGCAGATGGGGGGGGAATCGGGGGAGGGGGGAATCAGAAGCAAACACTTCTAAGGAGGGACAGGATCAAAAAGGAGAATAGAATAAATGGGGGGTGGGATAGGATGAAGGGAAATATACTTAGTTGTTCACAATATGACTATCACAGAAGTATTTTGCATGACTACACATGTATAACCTGTATCAAGTTGCTTGCCTTCTCAATAAGGGTGGGTGAAGACGGAGGAAGGGAGAAAATTTGGAACCCAAAGTTTTGAGAACAAATGTTAAAAATTGTTTCCACATGCAACTGGGAAATAAGATATATAGGCAATGGGGTATAGAAATCTATCCTGCCCTATAGGAAAATAGAAGGGGAAGGGGATAAGAGAAGGGGGGAGGGGTGATAGAAGGGAAGGCAGATTAGGGGAAGGTGTATTCAGAATGCAGGCCTTCTCGGGGTGGGGGGAGCGGCGAGATGGGGAGAAAATTGGGAACTCAAAATCTTGTGGAAGCGAATGTTGAAAACCAAAAATAAATTAATTAATAAAAAAGATACCCACCCACACACATACACACGTGCACGCACCATGCTCACTTTTGTCACACTGCATTTGCTCTGCCTGCCTATGACAGTGCAGCCTAGGATCACAGGAACAAAGAGTTAGTGCAAACCCCTTATGTCTGAGTGAAGAAACTGAGTCCCAAAGAGGGCAGGACTTGCCAGCAGCCTCTGAGTGCCAGAGCTGGAACTTGAGAACCCACAGCCTGTGATCCCAACCCACTGCCCTACCCTGCCACCTGTTGTTGGCCTGCGATGGCCTGACTACACTGGGGGTCTGGTGCCTAGGCCCAGGATGGCCTGACTGCATTGTGGGTCTGGTGCTGAGGCCTCACCCAGCTTTGCTGCTGGTTGGCCAGACTCGCAGCTGAGAGCTGGGGGTGCAGAGGCTGCTGCCAATAGGCCAAGGCCTCCCAACCTCCTGTCAACTTGGGTTGGAGAGCCAGAGCCCTGCTTTTGGGGAACTTCCGTATGACTGAAAGGGAGTGCCTGTTGTTTTCCTTATAGAAGCTCCAAGCTTCCTGAGGAGCCCAGAGACTGTTCAAGGAGACTCTCAAAAGTGAGATCCAGCCAGAGCCTCAATCACCGTCCACAGGCAGGGAGGCCACCTCAGCCCTGGCCAGTGGAACTCGGTAAGGGGGCTTACACAGCTTTCCACCCTCCTCCAGATAGATCGGGATACAGAAGCAGCCAGGCTCCTCATCCATGCTGGGGGCCCAGAAGGGCTTAGGAACCAGTGAGATGGCACAGAACCTAGCCCCTTCCTCAGTAGGAGCGTGCAAGGCTTAGACAACATAACCTTAGAACCCAAGCTTCAGCACCATCTCCTTGGTTAGTGTGGAGTCAAGGGAAGAACTGCTTTGGAGCAGCTGAAGAAGGCAGGGGGGCTGGGCTCAGATTGCAGATAGTCCCAAAGGTCCAGGACCTCAGAGGTCATGCAGCCCAAACTGTACCTGCCCAAGAACCCCGCCGCTAACACTCTCCCCTTCAAGTGGGCATCTAGCCTCTGCCTCAAGACTTCCGAGGAGCCCCCCCCTCACCGGCCTGGCGGCCCAGGCCACTTTTAGACAACCCTCTGGGTTAACCTTTCCTTAGAGGGGGCCACTGCCTGCCGCTCCATGCTGCCACCCCCTGACCCCAACTTCTGGTTCTGCCACAATAAGGCTCATCCCTCCTCCCATCACATACTTGAAGATGGCGATTGTGTCTCCTAAATCTTCTTTTCTCCATATCAACGAGCCCTAGCACCTTTAGTCAATCATATGGCGGAATCTCCAAACCAGGAGAAGCCCTGGCCACTTGTCCAGCTGGCAGTTACCAGAAAGGATCTGCCCCAGGCAGACGATAGAGATGGGGACCAGCACATCCCTAACCCTAGCCCTTTGTCCTGGCCCCCAAGTTGGCATGGGCTTTGGGGCTGTCACATTGCCCTGGATGTGCTTGCAGCCCAGCATGGCCTCCAGATCTTTTTCAAACCCTTTACTCCAGCCGCTCAGGCCCCTCGACATCCATAGCCCTCCTTTTCCTACCATGGTCAGGCAGCCCAGGGGCCCCCAGACAGATCAGGAAAGCCCGGCAGCATCCTTTCTAAGGGTAGCAGACAAAAAAAGGCAGGCCTGGCTTCTCCTAGACCCATGGGAACACGGAGGACATTCTTCAAACTGCTCGTGTGCCACCAAGCAGCAGTAAGCTACCCAACAGGAGCTACGGGCAAACACTTCAATCCTCTTGATTGGGAAACACTCTCATCTCTGGGCCTCAGTTTTCCCTTCTCTAAATCCTAGGCTTCTCAATAGGGAGGATAGGGATGGGGTCTGGACCTGCGATTTCATTGGGAGAAGGTACTCCCAGCAAGGAAACTCCCTCTAC